GTTGTTCTCCAGCATGGAAGTACCCCTGTCACTGCATCGTGTTATATGTCTGTATTACCTGGCAGTTGTTCTCCAGCATGGAAGTACCCCTGTCACTGCATCGTGTTATATGTCTGTATTACCTGGCATTTGTTCTCCAGCATGGAAGTATCCCTGTCACTGCGTCGTGTTATATGTCTGTATTACTTGGCAGTTGTTCTCCTGCATGGAAGTATCCCTGTCACTGCATCGTGTTATATGTCTGTATTACCTGGCAGTTGTTCTCCAGCATGGAAGTATCCCTGTCACTGCATCGTGTTATATGTCTGTATTACCTGGCAGTTGTTCTCCAGCATGGAAGTACCCCTGTCACTGCATCGTGTTATATGTCTGTATTACCTGGCAGTTGTTCTCCAGCATGGAAGTATCCCTGTCACTGCATCGTGTTATGTGTCTGTATTACCTGGCAGTTGTTCCCCAGCATGGAAGTACCCCTGTCACTGCATCGTGTTATATGTCTGTATTACCTGGCAGCTGTACCAGCTGTATCAGTTGTTCTCCAGCATGGAAGTACCCCTGTCACTGCATCGTGTTATATGTCTGTATTACCTGGCAGATGTTCTCCTGCATGGAAGTATCCCTGTCACTGCATCGTGTTATATGTCTGTATAACCTGGCAGTTGTTCTCCAGCATGGACGTACCCCTGTCACTGCATCGTGTTATATGTCTGTATTACCTGGCAGTTGTTCTCCAGCATGGAAGTATCCATGTCACTGCATCGTGTTATATGTCTGTATTACCTGGCTGTTGCTCTCCAGCATGGAAGTACCCCTGTCACTGCATCGTGTTATATGTCTGTATTACCTGGCAGTTGTTCTCCAGCATGGAAGTATCCCTTTCACTGCATCGTGTTATATATCTGTATTACCTGGCAGTTGTTCTCCAGCATGGAAGTATCCCTGTCACTGCATCGTGTTATATGTCTGTATTACCTGGCAGCTGTACCAGCTGTATCAGTTGTGCTCCAGCAAGGAAGTATCCCTGTCACTGCATCGTGTTATATGTCTGTATTACCTGGCAGCTGTTCTCCAGCATGGAAGAATCCCTGTCACTGCATCGTGTTATATGTCTGTATTACCTGGCAGCTGTACCAGCTGTTTCAGTTGTTCTCCAGCATGGAAGTATCCCTGTCACTGCATCGTGTTATATGTCTGTATTACCTGGCAGTTGTTCTCCAGCATGGCAGTACCCCTGTCACTGCATCGTGTTATATGTCTGTATTACCTGGCAGCTGTACCAGCTGTATCAATTGTTCTCCAGCATGGAAGTATCCCTGTCACTGCATCGTGTTATATGTCTGTATTACCTGGCAGTTGTTCTCCAGCATGGCAGTACCCCTGTCACTGCATCGTGTTATATGTCTGTATTACCTGGCAGCTGTTCTCCAGCATGGCAGTATCCCTGTCACTGCATCGTGTTATATGTCTGTATTACCTGGCAGTTGTTCTCCAGCATGGAAGTATCCCTGTCACTGCATCGTGTTATATGTCTGTATTACCTGGCAGTTGTTCTCCAGCATGGCAGTACCCCTGTCACTGCATCGTGTTATATGTCTGTATTACCTGGCAGCTGTACCAGCTGTATCAGTTGTTCTCCAGCATGGAAGTATCCCTGTCACTGCATCGTGTTATATGTCTGTATTACCTGGCAGTTGTTCTCCAGCATGGAAGTATCCCTGTCACTGCATCGTGTTATATGTCTGTATTACCTGGCAGTTGTTCTCCAGCATGGAAGTATCCATGTCACTGCATCGTGTTATATGTCTGTATTACCTGGCAGTTGTTCTCCTGCATGGAAGTATCCCTGTCACTGCATCGTGTTATATGTCTGTATCAGCTGTATCAGTTGTTCTCCAGCATGGAAGTACCCCTGTCACTGCATCGTGTTATATGTCTGTATTACCTGGCAGTTGTTCTCCAGCATGGAAGTATCCCTGTCACTGCATCGTGTTATATGTCTGTATTACCTGGCAGTTGTTCTCCAGCATGGAAGTATCCCTGTCACTGCATCGTGTTATATGTCTGTATCAGCTGTATCAGTTGTTCTCCAGCATGGAAGTACCCCTGTCACTGCATCGTGTTATATGTCTGTATTACCTGGCAGTTGTTCTCCAGCATGGATGTACCCCTGCCACTGCATCGTGTTATATGTCTGTATTACCTGGCAGATGTTCTCCAGCATGGAAGTATCCCTGTCACTGCATCGTGTTATATGTCTGTATTACCTGGCAGATGTTCTCCAGCATGGAAGTATCCCTGTCACTGCATCGTGTTATATGTCTGTATTACCTGGCAGATGTTCTCCAGCATGGAAGTATCCCTGTCACTGCATCGTGTTATATGTCTGTATTACCTGGCAGTTGTTCTCCAGCATGGAAGTATCCCTGTCACTGCATCGTGTTATATGTCTGTATCAGCTGTATCAGTTGTTCTCCAGCATGGAAGTACCCCTGTCACTGCATCGTGTTATATGTCTGTATTACCTGGCAGTTGTTCTCCAGCATGGAAGTACCCCTGTCACTGCATCGTGTTATATGTCTGTATTACCTGGCAGATGTTCTCCAGCATGGAAGTATCCCTGTCACTGCATCGTGTTATATGTCTGTATTACCTGGCAGATGTTCTCCAGCATGGAAGTATCCCTGTCACTGCATCGTGTTATATGTCTGTATTACCTGGCAGTTGTTCTCCAGCATGGAAGTATCCCTGTCACTGCATCGTGTTATATGTCTGTATTACCTGGCAGTTGTTCTCCAGCATGGAAGTATCCCTGTCACTGCATCGTGTTATGTGTCTGTATTACCTGGCATTTGTTCTCCAGCATGGAAGTATCCCTGTCACTGCATCGTGTTATATGTCTGTATTACCTGGCAGTTGTTCTCCTGCATGGAAGTATCCCTGTCACTGCATCGTGTTATATGTCTGTATTACTTGGCAGTTGTTCTCCAGCATGGAAGTATCCCTGTCACTGCATCGTGTTATATGTCTGTATTACATGGCAGTTGTTCTCCAGCATGGAAGTATCCCTGTCACTGCATCGTGTTATATGTCTGTATTACCTGGCAGTTGTTCTCCAGCATGGAAGTATCCATGTCACTGCATCGTGTTATATGTCTGTATTACCTGGCAGTTGTTCTCCAGCATGGAAGTATCCCTGTCACTGCATCGTGTTAAATGTCTGTATTACCTGGCAGTTGTTCTCCAGCATGGAAGTATCCCTGTCACTGCATCGTGTTATATGTCTGTATCAGCTGTATCAGTTGTTCTCCAGCATGGAAGTACCCCTGTCACTGCATCGTGTTATATGTCTGTATTACCTGGCAGTTGTTCTCCAGCATGGAAGTACCCCTGTCACTGCATCGTGTTATATGTCTGTATTACCTGGCAGTTGTTCTCCTGCATGGAAGTATCCCTGTCACTGCATCGTGTTATATGTCTGTATTACCCGGCAGTTGTTCTCCAGCATGGAAGTACCCCTGTCACTGCATCGTGTTATATGTCTGTATTACCTGGCATTTGTTCTCCAGCATGGAAGTACCCCTGTCACTGCATCGTGTTATATGTCTGTATTACCTGGCAGTTGTTCTCCAGCATGGAAGTATCCCTGTCACTGCATCGTGTTATGTGTCTGTATTACCTGGCAGTTGTTCCCCAGCATGGAAGTACCCCTGTCACTGCATCGTGTTATATGTCTGTATTACCTGGCAGCTGTACCAGCTGTATCAGTTGTTCTCCAGCATGGAAGTACCCCTGTCACTGCATCGTGTTATATGTCTGTATTACCTGGCAGATGTTCTCCTGCATGGAAGTATCCCAGTCACTGCATCGTGTTATATATCTGTATTACCTGGCAGTTGCTCTCCAGCATGGAAGTACCCCTGTCACTGCATCGTGTTATATGTCTGTATTACCTGGCAGTTGTTCTCCAGCATGGAAGTATCCCTGTCACTGCATCGTGTTATATATCTGTATTACCTGGCAGTTGTTCTCCAGCATGGAAGTATCCCTGTCACTGCATCGTGTTATATGTCTGTATTACCTGGCAGCTGTACCAGCTGTATCAGTTGTGCTCCAGCATGGAAGTATCCCTGTCACTGCATCGTGTTATATGTCTGTATTACCTGGCAGTTGTTCTCCAGCATGGAAGTACCCCTGTCACTGCATCGTGTTATATGTCTGTATTACCTGGCAGCTGTTCTCCAGCATGGCAGTATCCCTGTCACTGCATCGTGTTATATGTCTGTATTACCTGGCAGTTGTTCTCCAGCATGGAAGTATCCCTGTCACTGCATCGTGTTATATGTCTGTATTACCTGGCAGCTGTTCTCCAGCATGGAAGAATCCATGTCACTGCATCGTGTTATATGTCTGTATTACCTGGCAGCTGTACCAGCTGTATCAGTTGTTCTCCAGCATGGAAGTATCCCTGTCACTGCATCGTGTTATATGTCTGTATTACCTGGCAGTTGTTCTCCAGCATGGCAGTACCCCTGTCACTGCATCGTGTTATATGTCTGTATTACCTGGCAGCTGTACCAGCTGTATCAGTTGTTCTCCAGCATGGAAGTATCCCTGTCATTGCATCGTGTTATATGTCTGTATTACCTGGGAGTTGTTCTCCAGCATGGCAGTACCCCTGTCACTGCATCGTGTTATATGTCTGTATTACCTGGCAGTTGTTCTCCAGCATGGAAGTACCCCTGTCACTGCATCGTGTTATATGTCTGTATTACCTGGCAGTTGTTCTCCAGCATGGAAGTACCCCTGTCACTGCATCGTGTTATATGTATGTATTACCTGGCAGCTGTATCAGCTGTATCAGTTGTTCTCCATCATGGAAGTACCCCTGTCACTGCATCGTGTTATATGTCTGTATTACCTGGTAGCTGTACTAGCTGTATCAGTTGTTCTCCAGCATGGAAGAATCCCTGTCACTGCATCGTGTTATATGTCTGTATTACCTGGCAGCTGTACCAGCTGTATCAGTTGTTCTCCAGCATGGAAGTACCCATGTCACTGCATCGATAATCCCTTTGGTGTCTCCCCGTTTCCGTTTTCGTTTGTAAAAGAATCTGAAAATATGGTCGGTTATTGAGAAATATGTGAACTGTAATATGTAAACGCTGTCATGTTGCAGCCCAATATAGCAGTCCTCCTAACCTCCTTAAAACTAACCTAACACTTTACAACTCGCAATGCAAACAAAATGGTACTGAGTTGGCTGAGGTGAGGTGAAATGGAGTTTAACATCACGTTCAAGATTACTGCACTTAAATAGCGACGTGCATGCACGTGTGTATGCCAGTATAGTGTTAGACCACGAAGACAACATGCCGCAGTTTAACATGAATACCCAGCCCAGACATACTCCGAGCGCCTGGCAGGGTACAACAAGTGCCATAACGTATGTTGGTATGACGCGACCGGGGATCAAAGCCCGTTCCTTCCGTTATCCGGAAGGACGCTCCACCACCACCCCATGTTATATAGATTCAGACATCACCAGTCAGTTCACAATACTGATTTAATTTTTAATACATACATATAGTAATAATCTAGACTCCATCTCCTTGAGTTAGGTACACACTTACAGTATGAACACCACCACAGCGAGGGTAAGGTACACACTTACAGTATGAACACCACCACAGCGAGGGTAAGGTACACACTTACAGTATGAACAGCACCACAGCAATGACAACGACCAGGATGAGGAACACAGGGACAAGTATCGCAGCCAGGTCCGGGGTTGTCTCTGTGTTGGATTCACTCGGTGTTGTCGGCGATGTGTCTGTGACAAAATACAGTCACGTAATATCAAGCAATTATGATTCGCAATATCATTTGAGTCTTAGGTTGTAGTTGTACTTACATGTGCTCGATTCCCCCGGAGGTGTTGCCGTCGTCCCTGTACAGACATAAATACAGACAATGTAGTCATGTACAGAGATCACATCATATTTATATCCAACTGCAGACACAGATAAGATACAGTAAAACATTGCATAACAGTGTATATAAGTGTACCGCCATGTTATATTTGATAGATTGAAATGGAAACGAGAAGACCCTTTCCATATTCATTAGAAATATCTGCTACAAGCAGAGTCGGTTGTACGATTCCGACTATATCAGGAGCATGTGTTTATGAATCACTATCAAATAGTGGTCGCAAAAAGGTGAGCGTATCCTGTCCCACCAGTGGCAAATGTAGAAAACCCTTACACGAGTAAGGCTGAAACCCACACTCCATTTGTTTATCTTTGGTTTATTCTTGAGATATAATCCAAACTTTAGCCACAATCAGCAATATTCCAGGTGCATGACAGTGTTCTGTAAATAATCGAGTCTGGACCAGACACACCAGTGTTTGACGTTGATCCACGCACTTAGGTAACGATGACATGCATCAACCAAGTTTGCAAGCGGTTTGTTGTCTTGAACAACACAGGTTGCTGAAGATCTCTTTTTTTTTCCAAATCCTCAGGGGTTTAACAGCTAAGCAATCAGTAGGTTTGCATATACACTAAAAATTTAAGAAACATCCTTAAAACCGACATATAGCTACCATACCTTCAGAAAGACCAAACAATGAATAACAAAGTGTTTTATTGATTCAGAGCAAGTTGAATCACGCCGAGTTACCACCCTTGGCAGCATAAAACAGTCTAAAAGTCAGTCTCCATTTGATGAACCACCCACAGTCAGCCAGAATCACATCATAAACAGACTATCAATGTAAAACCTCGATTCCGATGTCATGAATGTTCACAGCAATGTCAGTATCGAATGTAGCCTCCACAAGCTCTAATCACGGCCTGACACCGCCAAGTGAAGATTTGAAAGAGGTTCCTGAAAGCAGCTTGAGGGATTCGTTGTCATTCACCTGAAGGGCCCAAACTATGGATATAACATTTGACTAACACTGTTATTTTGTGTCAGGACATATTGGTGGTCCTTAACTGATTTTGTTGAGCATTAATTGCCTGATTGGGTAACAAAACAATATAAAACCGTTTTATATATATATCCCACAGCAGATCAGCATCAACTATTACAAATTTGAATCAACTTGCTCTACCTGCTTCTGTAATAGAGACATGTGCCGACCTGGCATTTTGCTTCTATCAGTTGTGTATACGTCGGAGAAGTCTAACACCGTTTTTACACCACACCCGTTAAAGGCGGAAAGTCCACACAGAAGCTGCACACCATGAATCTCATGCTGGGCATGCCTCTCACATAATGCACGTGCATCACGTGACGTTTCATAAGCTTACTGAAGGACCAAACTATGTATATCTGTTTGGGCTATCATTACCTAACTAACTCTGTTTTTGTTTGTCTGTAAATATTAGCGGTCCTTAACTGTTTTAGTTGTGTATACAATTTGGTAGCAAGGAAATATCATAAAACCGTTTTATGTCTGAGAACTATATCCCACGGCAGACTGTTGTTACTGCAGATGAGCAACAACTATCACATATTTGAATAAACTTGTTTTCAAACCTCTAATACTGTTGCAGAAGTCTCCTGTGTAGTCTCCATCACAACCAAACGTGCAGATGCCATTTTGTCGATTGCAGGTGTTTATCAAGCAGTTCTTGCTACAAGCGTGATCACAGAGATCCTCAAACCACCCTGGCACACACCCCTCCGAGCACTTCCCTGTCTCCTTGTGGCAGTGTGTGAGGTTTCGCACCGGGTCAAGGATACAAGTCGAAGGGCAATCTTTGCTGCAGTTTTCGCCATACTTCCCCCATTCACAGTTAGTCTGGCCATGTGTTTCCAATACTGAAACGTTGATAAAAACGCCAGCATTAAAATAAGGATAACAAAAGTAATGAAAGGAATGATGACATCGTATTTCTTCTCAACTGATCAATGTTTTGTTACAGGATGATAACAAAGAACAGTGAGTGAGTGAGTGAGTGAGTGAGTGAGTGAGTGAGTGAGTGAGTGAGTGAGTGAGTGAGTGAGTGAGTGTGAGTGATTGAGTGAGTGAGTGAGTGATTGAGTGAGTGAGTGAGTGAGTGAGTGAGTGAGTGAGTGAGTGAGTGAGTGAGTGACGAGCGAATGCTTTAACCACTAGGCTACCTGACCACTCAGAATTTCAAGTCATGTACTCTACCGTGTGAAAAGAATGTTTTGAGTTGGGAGATATGTTCAAAGATGTGACAGCCGAAAAAACCCGTGTTCTCAATACTCACTGACTATCATCAGAAATGGGTAGAGTAGCTGCATGGCTCTGCTGGACGATGAGTTGGAGCCTCTGTAAAGGAAATATATGGTTTTGTGATACAAACACCATCATACATCAAACTGCTTTTAGTTGTGAGCATTTACGCTGTTTCATACGTTTTTGTTTGAAACACATGTTGTGCTTTAACGTTTACCAAATGTTTGCTCCATGTCATTTGACACGGATGACAGAAATGTGTTTACCAGGTGGTCATCAAGTCAATCCAGAAATTATGAAAAATAGATGCATGAATTAATGTGTTAAAGGTCATGCATCTTACTTCTTCCGCAACATCATTGGAATACTACTCTCACTACTCTTTTGTTTTTTTCCTCAACCCCTTGCCATGTGCATGGATCAGTGAAAATAACATTTGCGATATAAAACTCCCATTTTCAATTATATACCGTTTTCGAGACAATAAGCGCCCAGGGCGCTCTCAAATTTAGAATTAGGGGGCTCTTATTAGAATATTATTTTGGTGAAAAACAACAGAGTTGAAAGATCGTAAGTTTCGTGCTTTATGCTGACAGCCTGAAATGTTTATATACGACAGATATATTTTTTCCACAATTTAATTTCCCATCATTATGAATGCATATAGCATACGTATTATACACGAATAAATAAGTCCTGCGTAAATTGAGCAATCGGAAGGGGTGCTAATTGGGATTGCTCGCTAGCCAATATATTAGAAAATATCGCCGTGGGCGCTTATTAGAGCGGGGGCCTCATTACGTTGAATACGGTATCTCACACACACACGCACACACACACACACACACGCACGCACGCACGCACGCACGCACGCACACACACACACACACACACACACACTACATGTTTCTATGCATACACACATCAACGCATATCCCCGGCGTCCTTGCCTCTGATCCCACAAACACACATTTGGTGAGCTGCTTTGGGTGAAAGACTACCCACGATAATTGTGTCTACTCCGACGTCCGCGCTGTGATGCCTCACATATAATTAATCTTAACACAAGATAACTCTGGTAGAAATCTCTAACTTCAGTGCACACGAGTGCGTCCAGCTGGGCATGCAGAAGCTGTCTGTTAATCTTTGTAGACCAGTGTCGTGGTACTTTATACCTGGCAGTGTCTAGATTTGATAACCTCTGTGTGTTACAATGAGGTCAGTTGTACACTAGCACTGACTAGTTAGAACCAATGATGCTAGCATGTGTAGATGCGACTGTTTAGATATACTGACGCTGTGTGAATCCAACTTTTAGTAGCTTTAATATTATAACAGTGCATATATTTCTTGATACTTTTAATAATTTTCACAAATTATCCTGCACAAAGGACATCCTCACATTTCCAAGTCGCTGGGCACATGATAGCTCATATATGACAACACCAGTCAAACACAGCCGTATTCCCTTAGAAAATATGTGAACCTTGAATTACCTAGTGCATCCATGTTGACACGTGAGTGTGAGTGAGTGTGGTTTTACGCCGCTTTTAGCACTGTTTCAGCAATATCACGGCGGGGTACACCAGAAATGGGCTTCACACATTGTACCCATCGATAACGCATGGTGCATCCAGGTCCACACAGCCTTTCCTCTCTTGGTTGAGCGTCGATAAGTCGTCCCTCCACAGCTTGTTGGATGATCTTCCAAACAATTATACGATCACTATATCAAAACTGTCTTAATACTTTAGTCCTTTAAAACCTGACACAGCAACATATGATTGTGGCATGCAATTAATCGAGTCTGGACCAGACAATCCGGTGATGGACATCGTGAGCATCGGTCTACGCATTCGGAACACGATGACATAAATCAACTTAGTCAGTGAGCCTGATAACCCGGCCCCATCAGTCGCCTCTTACGACAATCAGTTCCCTTTTTGGGGGCTGCTGAAGATTTATCTTATCCCGGAACTCACGCGTCGAATCAAAACGTAAGAGTATATACATGACCTGTACATGGTTCAGGCTACAGAAGGGAAGGTGTCTCTCAAGGTTCACCTCGGTGAAACCCACGCGCATGGGTATGGTGCTCACAAAACTAGAAAGGTGATTCGAACCCTCGATCATAGGTTACTGGCTTGCCAAAGGGACGCAACTCTGCACAGCGTTGTGGTGAATCTTCAGACGAGTGAGGTGTCTCGCACTGTGCCAGTATGACTGTGAGCAATAGGGACAGTAACACACAGTTGGGCACAGCGCACCGCGACATTGATATCGTTCCCCTGCAGGTATAACAACGCTGTAATCCACAACACACCAACAACGAGTTGCCGTCCTATACGAAGCCTCCACTCTCGCTGGGAATATCAAGTTGAATGCTCTCACATTGACGCTCCCTATACGAAGCCTCCACTCTCGCTGGGAATATCAAGTTGAATGCTCTCACATTGACACTGCATCTATATGTTCAAGCAAGCACCTGTACATGTTCGTGCCATGTATCACACGATGTGTAGTTTACTTACCGATACAACAACGAATGTAGTGCTCCTTCCACGGCTACATGCCGGATCCAGGTCAGACACTCTGCTATTTAAAGTACAACCTATTTAAACCTGCCCATCACGTCAGTGTAACCCGTACGCGTGACAAGACTAACCTATCGGTGCTCAATGCAGTAAGTAATGCCAGCTTGTATTCAATGCTCTAAAGGTTTCTTTGTACAACCCAGGTGCATTGCTTCACCTCAGATGTGTGTATGTGAATACCTGAACGCTCAAGCAAATTTGTTTGTTTGTGGGTTTGCTGTCAACACACACTCGGCTATATTCCAGCAACATGCGGCAATCTGTAAAGAGTCGAGTCTGGACCAGACAATTCAGTGATTGACATCATGAGCATCGATTTACGAATTTGCTATGATATTTGCTTGCATGTTTCAAAACATGTTGATGGAAAGTACCTGTAGTGTAGAGCCCTGACCTAGGCTATATCTATGTATCCATCTGTCTGTCTGTCTGTCTGTCTGTCTGTCTATATTGTTCCCCTTCTAACACCGGTCCACGGAAACCCGTAAGTTTACACAACGCACTATTTAAATGTAGTAACTTCATGATGACTGCTTAGAGTAAATAGTACTACATTACGGACCACTACTCACTGCTTATAAACAATGCAATTAGCGTCTACCGAATCTCAATTGTAAAAATGTTACAACGTTACAAACATTGTTAATCCACAAAATACAACAATATATAACAATATATATATATATATATATATATATATATGTACGGTATATCGCACCGTACTATAGTGTGTCGTTGTAGCCTTTCGCAAATCATGTGTTTTCCGACAAAACTTAAAACATTAACTTGAGTGTCAAATAAAAAAAAAAAACGTCCGCGTTTTCGAGGCGTAAAGTTTACTAAATATTCGTTCATGATCGTGAATTATTGATAACAAACATTTATTTCATTTGTAAAAGTATCATGCCGCGTTCAAACTATAGGATAACGTCACAGATAAGTATGCTGCTCAAACAGCACACTAAAGCAATATACCCGTGAACACATTGGCTCCTTTGGCTTGGTTGTAAAATGAGTGAGTGTTAAGCTTGATGCTGCTTTTATCACACTTCCAGTATAATCATAACACGGACGTGAAGAAATGGGCCTCACACATGTCGGAAAAAGAAGAAAGGCCTTTGCGATAAACGCTTCATTCCCAAACTTCTCCTCTCTACCCTACCCTGTTTCACCCTGCTTTCTCCCTACTCCACACTTGCCAAACCCCTACCTCAACCCCGCACCTCCCTACCTCAACCCCGCACCCCCTACCTCAACCCCGCACCTCCCTACCTCAACCCCGCACCCCCTAACTCAACCTCGCACCTCCCTACCTCAGCCCCGCACCTCCCTACCTCAACCCCGCACCTCCGTACCTCAACCCCGCACCTCCCTACCTCAACCCCGCACCCCCTACCTCAACCTCGCACCTCCCTACCTCAACCCCGCACTCCCTACCTCAACCCCGCACCTCCCTACCTCAACCCCGCACCTCCCTACCTCAACCCCGCACCTCCGTATCTTAACCCCGCACCCCCCACACCACACCTCCCTACCTCAACCCCGCACCTCCCTATCTTAACCCCGCACCCCCTAACCCAGCCCCGCACCCCCTACCTCAACCCTGCACCCTACTACCTCAATCCTGCGTCTCCTACCTCAACACCGCACCCCCCACACCACACCTCCCTACCTCAACCCCGCGCCACCTACCCCAACCCCGCACCTCCCTACCTCAACCCCGCACCTCCCTACCTCAACCCCGCACCCCTCACCTCAACCCCGCACCCCCTACCTCAACCCCGCACCTCCCTACCTCAACCCCGCACCACCTACCCCGACCTCGCACCTCCCTACCTCAACCCCGCACCCTTACCTCAACCCCCACCCCCTGCCTCAACCCCCAGCCCCTGCCCGTGCCTCAAGCCCCACCCCCTACCTCAACCCCGCACCTCCCCACCTCAACCCCGCACCCCCAGCCTCAACTCCGCACCCCCAGCCTCAACTCCGCACCCCTACCTCAACCCCGCACCTCCCCACCTCAACCCCGCACCCCCAGCCTCAACTCCGCACCCCCAGCCTCAACCCCCACCCCCAGCCTCAACCCCGCACCTCCCCACCTCAACCCGGCACCTCCCGACCTCTACCCCGCACCCCCTACCTCAAACCCTTTCCCCCTGCCTCAACCCCGCACCACCTCCCTTAACCTTGAACTTCCACATTTGCATACCTACTCAAACGGCGCCTTCCATCTTCAACCCGGCACCCCCAACCTTAACCCCGCACCTGCCTGTCTCACCCTGCACTTCCACCTTTCCATACTTCCTCACACGACACTCACCTAACTCAACCCCGCAACCAACACGCCGCACAGTGCACCTCAGCACCCAGATCCTGTCCACGCTGTCGTGTGTTTGTCCCACTCTTATTTAACTGCAGCCTTCTCAGGGGGATTCCCCACACATTCATGTTTTGAGTTACTGAATATCAACACATACATCTCAGTCCTTCCAGGTCAGGCGCTTTTCCCGAGAATACAGCGTGAGCGTAACCTACTGTATGTAGGGGGCGCGGCTAGCTTCAATCAGGGAACAATATCAGTTACTGTCACACATATCAGTATGGATATTCCACGCTAATGATAGATGTAATGGATATTGATAAACACATCTGTAGGATTCAAAATTGTCGCTCTGTTTTAACACAATCGTCAATGTCTGACTACCTTTCACCCCTCTGGGCGATTCTACTCGTTCCTGAGAAATGACTTGGTCTGGCAAGCGATACAACCGTGTCACAGTCTACTTATAATGTCACGGCAGATGACATGACTGAGTGCGTTCTTTGAAACCACTTGCCCCAGATAGCAATATAGCATAGTCGGTACATGTATACATCTGTGGTTTGTGGGGGTTCGGGTGCCCAAGTCGTCTGAGGCGCCGCGATTCCCTGTGCAGAGTTGCTTCCCTTGGGCATGCCAGAAACCTACGATTGTGGGTTCGAATCCCGGTTCGCCCCGATTATGTTTCTAGGTTTGTCAGCACCATACCCGTGCTCATGGGTTTCACCGAAGTCTGAGACCTGCATCACTTCGGGTTTTCCTCCCACATTAAGCTGACACCCCGTGATATAACTGGAATACTCACACTCGTAGTGGTCGTTCATTCCTGATCATGGAACTTCGCAGGTCCATATTTTTCGTGGTTATTTGTTTTTGCCCCATTACAGGACTATCTCAACTATGTAACTAAACATTTAAGCAAACAAATGTAAGACGTTGATATATTTATCTGTATCTAAAGCTGTTTATCATCCACCCTTATCAAATCTATGTGGCTATCTAATAAACTGACTGTTGATTCACTCAGATCTTGTGATGTTGTGTGGGTTGTCGTGGACAGTGGTACCTCTATAAAGCGAGCTGATGCCCCTCACTAGCATGTTAATAAATTAACATATTAAACAATTGTATCATTCCCTGTGTGTCCATAAGTCAATAGTTCCATCCTACACAAGACATTTAATTATCTACCACAACTCAGGCTTGACGCGAATGACACCTTGTTGCTGGACAGATATGCTCGCAAAACATAGTGTGTTAATTTAATTGCTTGGTGTACCGATGGCGGAGGTCAACGTGACATTAAGGCCGACCATACCGATAACAGTCCAGTTGGGTGTCGGGTTTCCGTCTGCATTTCACCTTTACCATGCACCGACAAAATACAATAATATACTCGGCTCGGTCTATATGAATGTTTCAGTAAGTGTTACATCAGCTGATTTATATCGAAATGGCCGGCAACTTAAATCGTTTGGAGATTTACGTACCTCAACGATGTTGATACCATCGCCTACGCTGCCGCCATGGTGTCCTGGCCATTCATTCACCTCTCAGCTCTATGCAGTGGGGCTGTGGGGCTTGTTGCGGCGTGCTCCACATTATGTCAACTCTGGCACGCACGTCACAGTCGCCTCACTGTCGGTACCAGAATAACTGCCTCAGCTTTAGGTTTTGTTGAAAACTTGTTCGCAACATATGCCCGTGGTTCGAATTATCCGTTCAGATGTACTTTTAGACTGAATATATTCAGACCTATTGGGACGGTGATTTCCCTTTCTTCTTAACAGTGAGGTGAGGTGAGGTGAAATGGGGTTTAACGTCGCGTCCAAGATTATTGCACTTATATAGCGACGTGCATGTACGTGTGTGTGTTTGTGTGGCGGTTTATAGTAGTCCGGACTGAAGCCGATTTATAGTGCTAGCCCACTGAGATACCATGCCGCAGTTTAACATAAATATCCCACTCAGACACAGTATATTGACTTCGAGCCGACCAGTCCTTGTTTTAGCCCCTTAATGCCGAGCGCCAGACAGGGTTACTATAAGTACCATCTTTTAACGTCTTTTGGTATGACGCGGCCGGGGATCGAACCTTCCTCTCTCCGGGCGGACGCTTTACCGCTAGACCACGGAGGCGGTCTCTCAACAGTGTCGTTTTGTTTAGGTAGTAATTATTTAGTACATCCGGCGTGCTTACACCGAGAGTTTCACTTCTGGTAGATGTCTGAATGGTTAAAGGTCTGAGCAACACAATTTGAAAAGACGAGAACGTAGCATGCCAGGATCATATGTCATCGCGCTTAGTAACCGCTTTATTAATAACAAGAGCGAGGGAAGAAAGTTGGTTTATAATGTTAACCGTATCGACTTTACACTAAAGAAATATTGTGTGTCTACCTTTTCGTCCACAGCTATATGACGGCGGTCTGTGGGTAATCGAGTCTGGACCAGACAGTGAGGATCGATCCGAGCAATTGGGATCGATGACATGTACCCAATCGAGCCTGACCACTCGATCCCATTAGTCACCTGTTACAACAAGCATAGTCGCGTTTTACGGCAAGCATGGGTTGCTGAAGACCTGTTCTACCCCGGATCTTCACGGGTCTCTGGTGCCGAAACGATAAAAGGTAACGTATGCATGAGAAAATGTAGCATACGCACCAAAGATTATATATATATATATATATGTGTGTGTGTGTGTTTGTGTGTGTGTGTGTGTGTGTGTGTGTGTGTGTGTGTGTGTGTGTGTGTGTGTGTGTGTGTGTGTGTGTGTGTGTGTGTGTGTGTGTGTGTGTGTGTGTGTGTGTGTGTGTGTGTGTGTGTGTGTGTTTCTTTGTGTGTGTTTGTGTGTGTTTCGTGGAACTGGGGGAGCACCGGGAACAGATGCGACCACCCGATCCCGTTATTAGTTATATATGTATATATGTATATATGTGTATTTGTTGATAATATTGGGGCGGTCGGGTAGACTTGTGGTTAAAGCTTTCGCTCGTCGCGCCGAAGACCCGGGATCGATTCCCTGACATTGGTACAATGTGTGAAGCCCATTTCTGGTGTTCCCCGCCGTGATATTACTGGAATATTGCTAAAAGCGGTGTAAAACCATACTCAGTCAGTCAGTCAGTGTTGATAATATATTTCAGGGAAATCTGTTGTAAGGACCAATATCCCCGATGTGTGCCTTTGTTTACTTCTGGTTGTTGTTTTTGCTATATGCTAAAGCATACATATCCCGGTTGTCTGGTTTTAGAAACATGTCATGGAAAACAGCTAATGCTAGTAGTTGGATTCGGTGCATGTCGCTCACTGTATGATAAAACTAAACTCATGCGTGGGAAATATGAAGGAAGATCAACGGTCATCAATGACTCTGTGCATATGCGATGTGATGAATAAGGTTGGTGGTTGAGTGATTGGGTTTAACGCAGATTTGAAGGACATTCCAGTTATATCACTGTGTGTCAGCTTGATGTGTCCGACGTGTATACGAACTTCGTTGATGAAGCCGACGAGCATACGTTTGGTGCTTGGAAACCTAGAAACATCCACGTTGCACATCGGGATTGGTATCCACAATCATAGGTTCCTGGTGTTCCCAAGGGAGGCAACTCCACACAACGAATTGTGGCGCCTTTGACGACAGGGCCACCCGTCCCACAGTATAATAAGGGGTATAACGACCTTATGTAAAAGTTCCTGGCGTACCCATGGGCCGCAACTCTGCACAGCGAATCGCGGCGCCTTAGCCGACTGGGCCACCCGTGCCCCCTTGTACTCAAGCATCAACTAAGTTGTAGTAAGAAGTCTGGTATGCGAGTTGTGTATTTGTTTTTGTCTAGAGGACACATGTTTGTCTGCAAGACAGCAACATCTGTTCCTATTGATCACATAATGTCATATAATATATGTCGAAATATAATTTCCAGGTCCAAATGCACGTTCGAGACTGAACTGTGCCACCCGAATGAGCAATACACACTGAACGTGGACGTGGAACGCAGTACACAACTACAGCGACGATGAAGGGCAGCGTGACCTGAACTTCGATCTGTGACAGGTATAAATTCCTTATGTGAATTATTTATAGTAAGGTTGGGTGTCAGGTTTCTGTCTGTGAGTCATAGACAAAAAAAAACACATACATAATGTGCACCAAACCGAATGTACAACACACCTTTAAGACGGAAGTGAAATGCAGTACACAAACATGTCTTGTGTTGGACATGACGATCGATAATACTGATACCCAAGAACCATGTGAAATATGGATATTACGTTGCGTGCCGGGTGTGTCTGTGAATAACATAACATTACTGTAAACAAAAAACATAACCTATGAGGCTATATTTATCCTTCCCACGTCTCGGAATGTAAATATTAATCAGTGCATTCCGGTGTTTGTGCTTCTCATCCCTGTTTCAGAAGGTGAATAGAGATGAAATATCGCTTGTGTGGTTCATTATAGTAAATGCAGATTTTACTTACCACTGTGATGCTGAAATATATCCTTTAATCTTTCACCGTGATGTCCCAGGTCTTTCCTCCATACTACTGTGTCCTGGTGTCGTGAGATATGTCCCAGCATGCTCTAGTTCGGCTCCTAGCCAGATCACGTGGAACAGAGAATATGTAATGATTTCGTTACAAAATCATGTTCACGCTTCGATTTTTTTATTTATTAAGATGAACAACATTGAGACGTGACTACTTGTCAACTGTAGTGCGAGGAAACATCTATTTCATGCAGCCCGCACGATTAAGCCGTGCTGTTCACTTTAAAGTCGTTGTCCTTCAGGTGACATGTATATGCTATTATTCCTCCATAGGGGGCCACGGGTGGCCCAGGCCTCTAAGGCGCCGAGATTCGTTGTGTAGAGTTGCGTCCCATGGGCACGCCAGAAACCTATGATTGTTGGTTTGAATCCCGGTTCGCCCAGATTATGCTTCTAGGCTTGTCAGCACCATACCCGTGCTAATGGGTTTCACTGGGCTTTCCGCCCACATTAAGCTGACACGCCACGATATAACTGGAACACCGTTTAAAGCAGCGTTAAACCCAACTAACTCACTCACTCACTATTCCTTCAGATGACACATACAGTAAACTACAGTAAAAACGAACTTCAGTGGTCCCTTTGAGTTCGTTATAACCGTAATTTACTCCATATGCTTTTATTCCTCGATAGGAGAGTACAAAACATGTTATAAGTTAACAGGGAAGAGGAGAGATTTGCGTTGTGAGTCACTTTGGAAGTTGAACATATCATACAGTCTGGTTATCACAGATATTTGGACCAGAATGAAGACACTCCATCATATCATCGTGGGCATTCACGTAGAACACGTTCAACTGTGTCTGAATGCATTTGATGCATCTCTATTAATTGCGGACGTCCTCTCCTGTTTCAACGTTTTCATACCCTGATTAAGCCGCTACCCACTAACCCTCTTTTCCCTACCCACTTCATTCAAACACGAAACAACCACCCACAAACTGCATTAACCTCTACACGTTGTACCCGCCAAACACCAGCTCAATCCGTCGTCCCCGCTGGTATCCCACTCTTGGAATCTCCCGGATCCACCACGTTTCAAACTTCTTACATGTTCACAAAACACACAGCCATGTCTGTACAACAGTTTTAAACTTCTTACATGTACACAAAACACACAGCCATGTCTGTATAACAGGTTTAAACTTCTTACATGTACATAAAACACACAGCCATGTATGTATAACAGTTTTAAAGATCAATCAATCAATCCCAACCAGGTCAGTCAGGCTTGTCAAGCCTCACTCCTCGGGAATGCAACAGGGGTGGGTCTACTATGTGTAGGGGAACTAGTATGGGTCAATCAGGGAATAATGTGTCTATTTATCAGAACTAGTTGACCAATAGCGTGAACTAAGTTAATATGTATGAATATGACTATAGAAACATGAATAATTTGTTTGTGTTTTTCTGTTTTCTTTTATTAGGGAAACATGTCAACTACCTTGCGCCCCTTTAGGGCCTTGTACATATTTCCGAGAAATGACATGACACGCCCGGCTTGATCACGTAGTAATATGTCAGCGAGCGACCTTGCACACAGTAATTGGAGCCTGACAGATATACAGAGTCAGGTCACATTTCCCTGCACCAGTGTCGTTAATGTCACTTCACATGCCCCAGATAACAAGTGCTTTTAGCTGTTCGTTGATAGCTAAGAGAGAATGTCGAGATGTGAAAGGTCGGCTGTGACAGTTCTGTTTGTGTGTTATTTACCGACACACTAAACAATATTCCAGGTGAATGACGGCAGCCAGTAAATAATCGAGTCTGGACCAGACATTTTAGAGACTGAAATCATGATCATCTACGGAATATTAAGATCAACAAAGTCAGCGAACCTAACTACCCGATTCCGTTAATCGCCTTTTGTGAAAAGGTTGCTGGGTACCTTTTTTCCTACCCGGAATCACCTGGAATGCTGTGACTGTAGTTCAGTGAATAGGTGCAGTATTACTGATGTTTCATGACTCAATATTGTGCAGAGTTTGCGATCGAACCTTGGGTTTTCCTGGATGTGTTCGTTGGGCGTATATTGTTGATCTTGTACAGAAAGGCTTCCATACAGCCTTGTCGTGCGATAGAAGCTCGTTGCCCCAGACTATACCCTTAAACTGTACATACCATTCGTGACCCGTGACGATCCGGGGTAGAATAGGTCTTCAGCAACACATGCTTGCCGTAAAAGGCGACTATGCTTGTCGTAAGAGGCGACTAACGGGATCGGTGGTCAGGCTCGCCGATTGGTTGATGCATGTCTTCGATCTCAATTGCGCGGATCGATGCTCATGATATCAATCACTGGATTGTCTGGTCAAGACCTGACTGCCGTTGTATAGCTGGACTATTGCATAGGGCGGCGTTAAACAACCAACCAAACAACCAATCCTGTGATTATACTTGCCATCCAAACCCAATTACTGCTTAATTTGCGCAAACGCAGCTGTTTGCTAGCTTCGTACGTACACCGGGTTGGCATATTATACAGGGATGTCGGCAATATCACTTCCTCTACTTTGATGCCACACATGATAATCGATCGATAAATGATACAAGGACAAGTAAAGTTTTGAATGGTTTCTGGAGATTTGTATATTTAATAATGTTAATGCTTCTTTAGATGTCAATAAACAAATAACGCATCATACAAATACATGTTACAGGGGTCGCATTGTGATGGTTAACAAATAACGACCTTACATAAGTCGCCGCAATTAGCTGTACCTGGGAAGAAACGGTTGACTGCTGTAGCTCCAGATTCCTCAGTCGACAAATACACATCATGTAATATTCTGTGGTGCAAAGTTACATGAATGATTCAAGTCACCATGTCAGTGTGCCCCAACAAGTACAGGGTGGCTGGGTTTTCCGCTCTGATAGGGAAGGACAATGTTTTATTCATGGCGCCTTGATACAACCTAGCACGTAAACATGTGTATCACAAGCGGTTTGCTGAAGGGCTGTTAATACAGCACGTAAAGTGGGCGTTATTTACAACCAGTTTTGCAATTATATCCGTATCGCTTTTATTCAATTCGACCTCTGCCTCAGTAACAATGAGTGTGCCGAACACGCCACTTACAATATACGACACTCAAAACAACCAATAATTCCGTTTTTCAAACATGTCAGTGGACATTTAAAGGTGTTCTGATGTACACGAGGCATGACAAGAAACTGGGCATCTATTTTATCTTATCACTGCAACTTCCATAACTATAGGGCCGGGGGCGGTTAAGAAGCCTATTGGTTAAAGCGTTCGCTCGTCACGCCGAAGACCCGGGTTCGATTTCCGACATGGATAGATTGTGTGAAGCCCATGTTTTGTGTCCCCCGACGTGATATTGTTGGAATTTTGCTAAAAGCGGCGTAAAACCCTACTCACACACTCACTCTATGGGACCGGGTATAGTATGCGCGTGTGTTTTTAGGGTATGTCTGAAGCAGTAGCTGTTGTATTCATTTACCACAACGACGATAACGCAAGTACCACGTGTTGCAGGCGATCTCCGTATGCAGCTTCGTTGTCAACATTCCGCTTGTCTGGACAGCTCAAGGTGACCTGCTGTGTCACTGCCTGTATCTAGTGTACACACGTTGTCAGCATTCCACTTGTCTGGACATCTCAAGGTGACCTGCTGTGTCACTGCCTGTATCTATTGTACACAAGGCAGAAGGTCAAGCAGAGTGTATCTGTTAAGTCTCGCAACGTTGAGATACGGGCTTTCCATTGTCCTATTGTTTTACACCCGCCGTGCTCGGTGACGCCAACCTTCAGCAACAATGCAACTCGGACAGGAACAGTTCTAGTGACATCACTCGTTATTAACAGAAGCAGTATTGTGACTAAATATATATGTTTCTGACTGAGCAGGTTAGGATTTACGTGTCCACTGTTTTACCAGGTGAAACATTAGGGGTTATGCAAACTAGACGCCTGGGTCTGATACATTCTAACCCGGGCCATTTAAATGTATGGTGTTGTTGGGTTGATGATTAATGACACTATTGTGCATTTGTACCGGATGAACTGTGTGTTGTGTTTCTTCAACAAATGATTAAATTAAACTCGCAGTAGAACAAAACAGGCATTGTTCGCCCCTATTGTGTTATGGTTTCAAATCTACAAATATGTTCGTTGTGCCTCCCTTGTGCACGTTAACGTATTTTATATTGTTGAGTTTTTAAAACGTTAAAAATTGCCCAGATGGACGATGGAAATATAGTATATACATTGTTATAATGAAAGACAATTGAAGGATATCTAATTGCTCCGGATAAGAATAAGTCTTCAGCAACCCATGCTTGCCGTAAAAAGGCGAAACGGGATCGGGTGGTCAGACGCGCAGACTTGGTTGATGAATGTCATCGTATCCCAATTACGTATATCGATGCTCATGTTGTCAATCACTGGATTGTCTGCTCCACACTCGATGATTTACAAACCGTCGCAATATAGCTTGAATACAGCTGAGTGTGCCTTAAACAACAACAAAAACAAATCAAACACAATCTAATTGCTCATTGTCAAAGCAACTCGTAAAGATAAGTGTTCGAACTGGTCTCAAGAACCCATGCTTGTCGGAGGAGGCGACTAACGAGATGGAATTATCATGCTCCATGACTTGGTGGATGCATGTCATCGTTACCGATATACCGATGTTCATGATGTCAACCACTGGATACTCTGGTCCAAACTCGCATCAACCATTTTTGTAACATTATACACGAATATATGCGAGAATAAACCTGCATCCAGACACTGTTGTTTCAATGTGTGTACACCATGTGCAATGTATTACACTATTAGGAACATCGTTGAAGACTGTGCCGAATAGTTCTCATGTTTGTTTCCAGAATGAACTCCCTACCCGTATAGGCCTATAATACATTGGAGTGTATTATATTCTTAAGCTACTTTGTTAGTGACATCACCCTTCATAGCAAGTAAATAGAGGTACCACACAGCAATTGCATAAGTTGTGGTGATTTAATGGATGCACAATTGTTTTTTACCACAGTTTATAGATAAATAATAACAAACAGAAGCGTGTGTACAGTGTAGAATGTTTATTACTATAATGTACAAGTATATCACACCTGATCTTTTTCAATCTTTCATGAAAATTAAGAATTAGTGTGCACTACTTGCAAATTTATGGCACATTAATACAAACACACACAACATTGACCCGAAGCGACACGACCCGAAGTTTACGTCTCGTCTTTCGTGACTGAGACACTTGTTAACACAATACAAATAGTATTCTATACACGTTAGATGATAACAACAACTTTGGATTCATATCACCATTGCTAATAGACACATGCATTATCAGCTGGTATAGACGTGTACGTATACTGTATAGGGTAGTGGCATCAACGTTCATGGCATTATGATCGATGTGAAGCTCACCATATACACATTGCTAATAGACACACGTATTAACAGCTGGTAGTAAAGACGTATACTGTATAGGGTAGTGGCATCAATGTTCATGGCATCATGATCGATCTGAAGCTCACCATATATACTTCACGTGTTTTTAACGTTAATGTTGTAGTATAGTGCTGTATACTTTGGGAACAGGGTCAGCTAAATGAAGGCGGAATAACAAACAGAAGATCACCACTGATAAAACCGACAAAGCAACGCCATCAACAACTAGCGCGACCTGACGCTTGACAAAATAGGGAATTGATAGCTCAATAGACAGTGAACAGTTGTGTATAGATAAGTCATACAACATAAACGAGGGAACATATAATCAGCGGTCACAGGAACACAATGGCGGGACCCTTCTCGCCATCGATAACGTCATAATAGGCATGATTCGAATGACGGTTAGTATTAAGTGTATCTCCCTGTACTGTAGGTAAGTACTGCAGATACTCCACCTCATCTTGATGCATCTGATCCTGGTGCTCCTCCTGTTCCCTGCAACACAGAGATATGTATGTGTTTAGGATCTTTGTGCATATACTGCATTTTCTCATGCGTACATTACCTATTATCGTTTAGTCACCAGAGACCCGTGAACATTCGGGGTAGAATAGGTCTTCAGCAACCCATTATGCCATAAAAGGCGACTATGCTTGTCATAAGAGGCGACTAACGGGATCGGGTGGCCAGGCTCGCGGACTTGGTTGATGCATGTCATTGATCCAAATTGCATGAATCGATGCTCATGATATTAATCACTGGCTTTTTCTGGTCCAGGCTCGGTTATTTACAGACCGCCGTCATATAGCTGGAATACTTCTGACTTCGGCATTAAACAACAAACAAACAAACATTAACCACAAGTGAATATTGCACAATAATAACCTGTCGGGGAGTTAACTGTCTTCTATTGGTATGATAACAATTTCCTCCATTGAACATTTTAACTAAATTACGTTGATTTGATAAGTGGAAAAATGAAGTTTTGACTGGTATGAATTGCTAACATATCATGACAAAACTCAAAAATAAGTCATAGTGGTGTGAATAGTAAGTATGGTTTGAAGCATGAGTCAATTGTTTAGCCCCAAGTACAATAAACATACTACACACTACAGGGGTCATGTAGTGACTGTTACCATAACACTGCGACAAACTCACCTTTGTTTGGGGAAACGCTTGCAGTAACAGAGACAGAGTGTCAGCAAGATGCCCGATACAGGGAGTAGCAGTGATGCCAACAGCCAAGTCAGCACACTGCCTGTCTTCTGATCGTCATTCTCATCTGGCAAAAAGACGAGCTACTAAATATTTAAACATGTTTAATGAACTAGTCATTAGTGTCATGCACACTAGATCAGCTCTTGTTTCATGTCCTTGAGCAAATAAATAGCGAATATATCAGGTTCACCTTAATAAAGAACATAGTCATACAGCGCCAGGAACAAGTATACATTGTAAAATATTAAGGTGCATTACACATGTGCGTGGCATGCATGCAGATAATGTGTCTGTGTGGTGTGTTTTTTAACGTCGCACTAAGCAATGCTCCCGTTCTAAAACGACGGCCTGCACGCAATCAAGTCTGGGCTAAGCAGTCCAGTGATGTATTATGTGCAACTCTCTGTGAACCATGACAGACTGGCTTTCGAGACTGACATCCCGATCCATTTAGGCGTCCTTCCTTCCAGCATACGTGTCCGGGGATACATGCATAGTGATGTACTGTATTGAGGAAGTAACTGAGTTAAGCAGTTTTACAAGTGTGATATTAGAAACTGAGGATTTAGTGTCTTCACAACATTCATCTATTAGCAAGGTGTCTGTATGAGGGAAATGTACGCCTACGTAGTGTCCTTGTACACGTTCCTGTCATCTGATGAGAAACAACATTCAGATAGACTACACGAGTATGGTAGTAGTTTTACCGTAACATCCAGGTATACAACCATGCATACAATCCCAGGTAGCCACGTGTCTTACATGTTTACCGCCTCCGTGGTCTAGTGGTAGAGCGTCCCCAGCCGCGTCATACAAAAAGACGTTAAAAGATGGTACTTGCTGTTACCCTGTCTGGCGCTCGGCATTAAGGGGCTAACACAAGGACTGGTCGGCTCGGAGTCAGTATATTGTGTCTGAGTGGGATATTCATGTTAAACTGCGGCATGGTATCTCCGTGAGCTAGCACTATGAATTGGCACCAGTCCGGTCTAGTACAAGCAGCCACACTCACACACACGTGCATACACGTCGCTTTATAAGTGCAATAATCTTGGACGCGACGTTAAACCCCATTTCACCTCACCTCACCTCACATCTTACATGTTTAGAGCTACATAAGGAGGACCATCTTGGATGTAATGAATACTTTTCAAGGATCCTTCATAGGTGATGGGTTATCAAGAACGTTTACCTACATTTATATCAAAGCTTAGAACAGAGTATCGGTTACAGACATACTCACACGATGCTTGTTTACAGCCACCCATTTCACAATCTTCATATGTTCCATTGCAGGGTGGACATTCGCACTTCGGACCAACATATGGAGCGTGACACTCAGTACATTCTCCTGCCGTCCTGTTTCAGGACTTGCACCTACTTGAACACGTCTTACATCCAGCCCCATAGTAGGAGTCTACACATCCAGACACACATGAGGAGCCCAGCTGACAATATCCTCCATCACACCCACCTGGACATGCTGTACAGTTACCTCCTGGATTGTCACATGTTATTTCGCAGGCTGTACCTAGGTATCCAGATACGCAACCGACAGTACAGTTGCCATTGCCGTTGCTTGAAAGTGTGCATTTCCTTTTCAAACAATTCTTATTGCAAACAGAACTGCATCTCGTATCAAAATACCCAGCAGTACACTCGAGGCAATATCCCGTCGTGCTGTCACACTGTGAACAACGTTGGTTGTCCTTGCATGGTGGGGCAGGAGAAACGGAACTTGTATTCATCGCTGAGAATTGAATTTAAACACTTATGTTAGTATGCACGATACATTCAAGTATATTACATAATGAATAAGATACGTCTACCTGTGCATTACACCTCTACATTAAGCTCTAAAACATCAAACGTCAAACTTGTCTTGTTTTGATAGAGACACACATAATAGTAAAACGGAAACGACTGACTCATATTGCCGTCACTGTTCATGTGTGATACATCCTACCAACATTACATCAACGCCTACTGTAGGTTTATTAAGGTGAACTATCCCCCGTCATTCTCACCTTGTGCGGAAACAAGAGACATCAAGCACAGCACAATGAACTCGATCATACTTGTTCTGAGGAAAAATATGTGATCATGAATTTATACAATAAACATTGCATTATTTTGTTAGCTAAGATAACAAACATGTTCCTGCCACACAATGGGAATAAGACACAGCTGTATGTAATGCTACTTACTTGAATCCCGGATAGCCCTTGGATGGGAGAAAACAGACAGCGTAGTGTGTTCGTTGCCAGAGCTTATTTATGAAACTAGTCAACGAATTAGTTGGATTCACTTTTTCATTCCTTATTTACAAGGAAATCTTACCAAACGTTTTTGTTGAAAAAGCAACTGCATTTGAATAAACCCATGCGATCGACATGGCCGTGTTTGTTTTTAAAGGTTTACTAACCACTCAGATTCATCATTAAGGAACAATGTTAGTGCACGGCCAAAATATCAAATAAAGTATATCATGTGTTGGCTGTTAAACGTCACGCCCGTCAATATTGCACCTACATGACGGTGATCTGTACATAGCCGAGTCTGTTGTGAGACTGTATATGTGGCATGTGATCTATGTCATGTGGCATGTGGAATGAGATGTGCCATATGTGATATGTGTCACGTGTCATATGATATGTGACATCTGTGTTGTGTGATTGTATGTGGCATGTGATCTATGTCATGCGGCATGCGGTATGAGATGTGCCATATGTGATATGTGTCACGTGTCATATGATATGTGACATCTGTGTTGTGTGATTGTATGTGGCATGTGATCTATGTCATGCGGCATGCGGTATGAGATGTGCCATATGTGATATGTGTCACGTGTCATATGATATGTGACATCTGTGTTGTGTGGTTGTATGTGGCATGTGATCTATGTCATGCGGCATGCGGTATGAGATGTGCCATATGTGATATGTGTCACGTGTCATATGATATGTGACATCTGTGTTGTGTGATTGTATGTGGCATGTGATCTATGTCATGCGGCATGTCGTATAAGATGCGTCATATGTGATATTTGTCGTGTCATGAGGTATTTGGTATTTGAAATGTGGCATGTGATATGTGATATGTGATATGTGAAATGTGGCATGTGATATGTGATATGTGAAATACGGCATGTGGTGTCTGGTATTTGAGATGTGGCATGTGATATGTGATATGAGATATGTGAAATGTGGCAGGTGACATGTTGTATTTGAAATGAAGCATGTTATATGTGATATGAATAATGCGTCCTTCATGCGGCATGAGATGCTTGAAATGTGGCATGTGATATCCGGTATTTAAAATGTGACAAGCGATATGTGATATGTGGAATGTGAATTATGTTATTTGAAATGTGGCATGTGATTTGTGATGTGTGAAATATGGCATGTGATATCTGGTCTTTGAAATGTGGAATGTGATATGTAAATGTGGAATGTGAACTGTTGCATGTGATATATGGCATGTCAAATGTAAAATGTGATATTTGTCATGTGGCATGTTCTATGTGGTATGTGAAATGTGGCCTGTGGTGCTTGACATGTGAAATGTGGCATCTGATATGTGATATATGAAATTGTGGCATGTAAAATGTTGCGTGTGACATGTAATATGTGAAATGTGATATGTGATATGTGAAATGTTGCATCTGATATGTGATCTATGAAATTGTGGCGGCATCTGAAATGTGATATGTGATGTGAAATGTGGCACCTGATTTGTGATATATAAAATTGTGGCGGCATGTGAAATGTGGCGTGTAACATGTAATATGTGAAATATTATTTGTGATATGTGAAATGTGGCATCTGATATGTGATATATGAAATTGTTGCATGGGAAATGTGGCATCTGATATATGATATGTGAAATGTGGCATGTGGCATGTAATATCTGTTATATGGTATTTGAAATGTTATCTGTGCATTGTGTTATGGCATTTGGCATATAAGTGTCGTGTGATGTCTGACATTGTAGCGTGATATGTGGAACGTGGCATGTGGCATGTGTTTCTCTCATATTAAAAAAAGTTCTTCCTTATTTTCAGTTTAGTTAAATGTATAATTCTAAAATGATAAACGTTTTACTATAATCAAACCTGTTTAGTGCGTTTTCTTCAAATGAACATGCAACAAACACCATGGTGCCATTCCTGATTTTCAGTGATCCATTCAAGTGAGAGTCATTACTATTTTGCCTTTTACACCCAATGGAATATGTATCGGCATATTATCAAAACTGGATATTCTCTGGCGTTGACGATTGCTATTTACACCTCAGAGATGAATCGGCAACACTGTCATGTCTTGTCTATTTCCTGGTCATTTAGTCCCATGAAGGGGTCAGAATAGGTCTTCAGCAACCAGTGCTTGGCGTAAAAAGCGACTGTGCTTGTCGTAAGAGGCGACTTACGTGATCGGAGTGGTCAGGCTGATTGATGGCTTAGGTGACTTGTTTGATGCATGTCAATTGCCTGAATGGATGCTAATGATGTCAGTCACTGGATTGTCTGGTCTAGGCTCGAGTATTTACTGACCGCAGTCATACAGCTGATATATTGCTGAGCGTGACGTTAAACAACAAGCAATACAATACAATACAGTCATTTAATTTGTTAATTTTGTTTCCATCAGTCTCTCAGGTTCGACGTAGCTATTTGACTTCCTGGAATGTAATGTGATATGGTTGAGGGATGACATTCAACATTTCTGCTTGATCGACAACATCATGTTCCGAGAGTCAAAGCCATTCACAGCTATGCATATAGGTTCTAGTGTCATTAACTTAATGTGCAAAGTAGTCCCAACATATTGACAGATGGTTACACAAGCTTGAATTAAGCTTATCCTGAGTGAAATATTTTCAAGTTTACCGAAGAGAATATATGTATATAAAATCAGTTCACTTGCTCAGTTCACATACACGCTAAAACCCCCAATTTGCATATGGTAAGGATGTCCTCTTTCACGTAGTGTGTGTGATCTGTCGTCGGGTTGGGAAGAAGAAACTTGGTGACTCACAAATCTGGTGATATCAGATTCCTGCTGTGACGGAACACTTCTGTGTGTGAATCTCTGACCACAAGATGAAGCCACTAAACACAACCGTGTCTACATTATGTGTTCTTATGTGTGTAAAACAAAGATTACAACACTATTAAAACACTGATAATAAGTTATGTACCTATAATTGCAGTAGACGGGGAAGGGTTGGGTTTAGCGACTTAATATCGTACACACATCAAGTGTGAACATTTATACGACAGATTCATGTAACAACATATTTAATTGGTCGTTTCTAAATTCATGTTGAATATCAAATTGAATCAGACATGGGTACATTTACATTTTCTCGTTATAACGAGGTGGTATATACGCTAACAAATCAGTAGTTACAAGTTTAAAAAAACCCAGTTTGATTAAAAGATCCAATGCACGGCTTGCAAATATCAACTTTGTAAAATGTATCCAAGTTTATCTAGTTGTTATACGTCAGAGAGTAGGAACTGATTGTAAGTAGTATCATAATCCATAATGGTATGTTTCAACTTGAGTATTAAAATACTACTAAAGGCGTTAAACAACAAACACATACACTAACTAAAGGCTTTGCTCCCATGTCAAGCAGATGCGCTGTGATTCAAGCAAAATTAGAATCAGTCTGCACGTATATGAACACCTGATGACATTCCACTGTACTGTAACCATCTCCCGATTGATTTTCTGGTGTATGTGACGTACACAACTGAAGCGTTGTAAATCTTGCAACACAGGCTTTGTAACTGAACATCGCTACTTCCTGGTACACAAGCTTGTCGTTAGAGATGGAGTTGTCAGGCTCGCTGACTTCGTTGATGCGTGTCAGTGAATCTAAATTCCGTAGATCAATGCTGATGATGTTAATAACTGGATGTTACTGGTCGATAATCGATTATTCACAGTCCTCGGTGATACAGATGGAATCTTGCTGAGTACGGCGTTAAATAAGACACAAAGACACAAACAACTTTCCGTGTAAAGGTAAAATAATTTCACAACGAAAGAAGGCAGGGCTGTGTGGATTGCATCAACCTTTTGTAACAGTATACATAAAGGAGTACTATAATTGTATTGAAGTCCAGACACTATTGCGGGAACCACCAACTGCTAGCATCTTCAATACGGGCTCCCCCTAGCAACCTTCAACTGCTGGCGATCTATAACCCATTTAAATATTGCACCTTTACTTAAAGTGATATCTTTTTATGTTTGTATGCTAGTTAAAAATAAAAATCTGTGATACTCTAGTAATTTCACTGTCCGTCGATGATATATGTATTAAAAAAAATAACTTCCTGTAACGATATGGCTGAAATATTGCCGATGTGACGTAAAACACTAACTCACTCACTCACTCACTCACTCAATACGGGCTGAAGGTTACTGAGAAGGAACGAACGTTTGCAGGGAGGCCGGAATAAATCGACACAAAGACACAAACCAAAAAAAACTTTCCTTGTAAAGGTAAAATTATTTCGCAAGGACAGAAGGGAGGGCTGTATAGATTGCATCAAACTTTGTCGTAACAGTATACATAAAGGAGTATAATAATTGTATTAAAATCCAGACACTATTGTGGGAACCACCCATTGCTAGCATCTTCAATACGGGCTGATGGTTTCTGAGAAGAAACAAACGTCTGCAGGGAGGCCGGAATAAAACGAAATGAATAACTAAGGTTCTATATCATGCATGTGTTTTGTTGCATGAATAACACAACTACTATGTCCAATACATTTGAGTAAGTATCCATGGCAGAGGATTACAAGATGAATGATAGATGTTGACGACTGTAGAGCGAGTGTGCTGCTAATGACGCTATCGTTGCTATGGAAACGAATACAACCAACATCACATGCAGTGTCGTCAACCTTCTCTCGGGAAAGACGGGGGTTACCGAGTTGTGAAACCAAATCCAAATAAATGAAATTTCAAGTTCCTGTTTTATTTACACGTCAGCATGCATTGGTATGTGCAAGGCAATGTTATGTTGAATAAAGACAGCATAATGTATTAAAATATGTCTTAACATTCATCTAACCAATCACCTGTAACAAAATACAGCCACTATTTCTTCCTGCATGGTGACAAATGCCATGAACTAAGAAGCAAACAATCGCAACTCAAACTGATATAACTGACGATTGCATCAAATGCTACTTCCTCGATACAGACGCACTGACTTAGCGACCCAATGAGGGTTTTCCTCATGAT